ATTTAGACTTTGTTCAAGTCATTGTTCAGGAAAAGCTAAGGAAAACCTTTGCTTGTGCTTGTACTCCTCTACTACCTCATAACCCCTTCCACTAGCATTTCCTCCTTGCTTTCACCTGCTCAGCACTGCAGCAGGAGCTGATGGGTTACCCATCCAGCTCTTCGTAGGATTGCTGTGGGGTGCTGGGCTCCCCTCGTGTCTGACTCTGGCTGTTTATTTCTTGGCCAATTCCTTTAGGTTTTTTTTCTGGGTAGCACTGGTGCTCCAGAGGCATGTGCTGTAACTGGAAGGGTACACTCAGCGGTGGTTGGGTGGGACTGTACCAACAGCCTGCCGTGCAGCTGTGTTACCCACCTCATGGTGGGACTCACAGGGTTACTCTGATTAAAAAAGCTGAGTTTGATGTCTGGCTGGCTGACTGGTTTGCTGTCTTTTGTCAGATATGCTCAGAAGAGGAAAAGAGAAGTTCTTACACTTCTTTCACATTATTCGGTGCCTGGTTTTGTGGAGTCCAGCTGACAAGCTGAGAAATTAATAACCTTAGAATACAGAGTTGAGGTCAAATGAAGAATTCTTCTCAGCTTCTGCTTGTCTACCCTCAGGCTAGTATTTCCCTCCTGCACAGTTCAATATGGTCTTAACACCCCGTATAGTCAGCGCTTTTGTCCTGAATAAATCAAAGTTCCATTCAGATCCTCAGCTGCTGGCAATAAACAGGGACTTCCATTTATTGCCTGAGCAATTCTGAGTTTATCTAATTGCTTTCATACCAAGTCCATGGCAAGTACTAGTGCCCAATTTCCAGCTTTTACAGCAGTATGACGAAGCCTAGTTGAAATCTGCAGTCAGTAATTTTGCCAATTGTATTGATACTCAGATTTTTTATTAATCTTGCTTTCTGGACATCCATTTTTTTTACATGTGGGGAGAGGGATCATAAATGTGTGAGCACTCAAGGATGTGGTGGGGTTGTACAGAGGTTAGGTCTAAGTTTCTCCAAAGCAAATGGCATGTGCATGTGTCAAGGTTTCTTCTTGACAGCCCACATTTGCCTGCTGGCTTCTGAATAGCTTTATTATGCATCACCAGTGTGTGACCACTTTTCCAGTCTCATGTTGCAGCTTTCAGTGTTGAGGGCTTACGTAGCAGCTGGCTTCATAGTCCGGCTGGATCCAAACTGGTGGTTGATATAATAACACACATGCGAGCATGGCCCTTGAATTGCTGGCAGCCTTTGCCTGCAGCACGGGTGTACTGAAAATCTCTGCTAAAGTCACTGCTTTGCACTGGAAATCTCCACATCCTAAATCATTGCATAAAGGGAGGTGTTTCTTTCTATTTCCTATAGAATGTAAGTCTTCCTTGGGGTGTAAAGTGATTTTATATCCTCAGGCCCCTATATGATGACATTTATTTTCCTCTCTTTCATACTGCTTTCCACACTATATACTTCCATATAGTCAGCAAATATCAGCTAGACTATCCCTAAGAAAAAGTTACTGCTATCTTGCTAGGCATCCTTGGACAGAATTAAATTTATCTCCTAGGATAAAGAATGAAACAGTTTATTTGTGGTCTGTGGAACACAAAGGGGCAGGTGGAGGGGAACAGCCTAGTATGTCATAAAATTAATATTTCCACTGAATCTGTTTCATAGTGTCCAGTAGAAAAATGAGTATTACTATCCAGGTAAATACTGCTTATTATATGGAGATATTTGTGTGTTTCTTGCAACGATCCCTCCTGTAAACTGGAGTTGAGCATCCCATGCACGAATCCTGTCTTAGCATTTGTGCTAATGCCTCTTTGCAGGTTGCCAGGTCTTTCCTCCTGATACCACTCAAGCTACATGTGCTCTAGGGTTTTTTTCAGATTTAATCCTTTTATAGAATATGTAAATAGTTTTGTGGGTTTCACATCCTTTTTATTTTCCAGGCAAAGTAATGAAAAGTTATTGAATAAGAATTATTTCAGTTCATAATTCATAACTTCATCAAAATTCTTCCACTGAAAAATTGCCAAGTTGAATGAATTAAACAATACAGCTAGCAATAGTAAAAAAAAATAAAGCACTGTAAATATTAGTAAGTAATACCAGAATGCTCAGATGTACTTTTTACATTTCTTGATGCTCAAACTCTTACATATTCCATAGCTCCCAAGAGATTTAATTGTTTATGGTAGAGATTTTAAGTGAGATACTTGTATTTTGTGTTTAATCAGCTGGATTTTCTTTCAATATTGAAGCAGCCTTGCTTTAATCAGAAAGTATTTAATGTTTGATGTTTCTGTTTCTCCTAATAATTTTTTCTAAAAAATAAAATAATTGTTTTCAACATTGTTATGGCAGGCACTGCAAAATGCATTTCAGAGAGGAGGGCCCAGTTAATTCAGCAATGGATTCCATCTGTGTTGATGTTGGCTGCACAGTCCAGCCCGCCCCAGCTGTATGAAGTAACTGGTGCTCCAGCAGGGTTGAATTCAGACAAGCACCATTTGTGTTTCATTTCCTTTTTTCTTTCTTTCTGAATAACATTTTGTCTAAAAACAAGGATTTCTCCCCCCCACCTCCCACCCCTGATCCTTATTGGAACTTTTATTTGTTTCTGGATAAAAGACAGCTTTGAAACCCCAGTGCTGTCAGGTCAAAACCGAAATGACTCTTGGGATGGGTATTTCCTGGGTGAATTAGATTTAATAATGATAGGAATTTCATATATTGTATATACACCTGACTGGAAAAATAGTCTAAGGCTAGACCAAGATATTAATACGTCTGTCTAATAAAAGGGGTGGTATGAATCTGCACTGCCCCAGGAACCATCCTTGACCCCAACTCACTTGAGCAAGACTCTGCCCACCTGTGTGAAGGGAGCAAATACAAATTCATTGGAGGCAGTTCCCCATACTGTGTCTAGCGGCTCAGGATACACAGAGCTGATGCAGGTGTGTAGGGTAAAATTAATAATTGCTGACTATTTTCCAATAGGATGTTTTGATGTCCCTTACACCTGTTTCACAGCAGCAGCTATCCTTGAAAGATTCATTTATTTTGGGATGATGTGCAGATTTGCAATTTGAGGATTTTTTTTCAGCAGCATTACAGGGACACTACACTAAAAGTAATATTTTTTTCACTATTTTGCTTCTTTGACAGATAATTCCTCTGGCAAAAGTGGTCTGTGGGGAAAACTCATTTGGTTCACATTGCAGATAACAGTAATTTTCATCTCTTATCTGTAACTGAGTGTGACATATGAAGTTGGCTGTATCATTTGATATAGAAGTAGTATTAGTGTAATTCTCAGTCTGACCAAGAATGTCTGTATTCAGTCATGAATTGGTTCATTTTTCATGAGGAGGTTTCTGATTTTACTTAGTGCACAAAGGGAAGTCAGTGCTGGATGAGGTTGAAGTGCAGGTTTAAACACTAGCTCCTTGCCTTCCTGCGCACTGGGAATACACAAGCACTTACTTGTAAGGTGGAATAACCTAGTGGATACGAACTTAACTACAGAGCATACTAAGGGTGGGACTTGTCTTGCTGATTTTGTTAAGAATTTGGTGTCTGGCTTAGGTTCATAATCAGTAATGAAATTTGGAGATGTCTAGCTTTGAAAGTGCCCACAGAAGTAGTTTTATTACAGCTAATGCCACATTTTAATAAAGCTCAGGTTCCTCCTTGGTAACTTTAGATCTATAGCAAAAGAGGAGTACAGTCACTATGGCTTCACCTGTATTATGTGGTAGAAGGCTCTATATCTCTGCTGGACTGTTCAGCCCACCTGAATTGCAGTCCAGAAGTATCTGTATCTGACCATGAGCAAAGCCCACCCTGGCTAGTTTCTTACTTCAGTATCTCTGTTCATTTCCCACGTTTAGACTGGGTCAGTCCAATGCAGCCGAACACTGTTACGTCTCTTTCATTACAAGAAAAAAAGAGAAAGATGTATTGGAAAAAAATGTTACTGAAGAAATGAGACTCTACTTATGAGTTATATTTTTGTAATCGTACAATAAACCACTTATGCTGGAAAAAGACTTCAGTATTTTCTCTAATATGAAAATACGGAACTAAAAACCTGTGGTAAATGTGAATGAGCTCTATAAAATACAGTTGTTTTGGTACTTGTTAGGGAAATAGAACAGCAAAGTCATATGGAAGAAGTCACAGAGTACTAAATTTACTTTGTTACTATATCAACATACCAGCAGTCAGTCAGTTTTAAATTTAAAACAGGTTTATATTTAGAAAAGAAACATTTTAGAATTTGACCTGGTATTTGAAATATTTTTTTTATCATATAATAGTTTCTTGATGTTCCAAACTTTTCATTGATTGTAGCTCAGTTTTCATTATGTAGAAATAGCATTTCTAAAATTAATGTCTGTATTAAGGATTGATTTGCCGTTGAAAACCAAAATGCATCATGAAAATATGGTCTAAATTATCTGTCATTGATCTCTGCCAGCCCAGGCTATTTAACTTTGGTAAAGTGTCCAGCCAAACGGTTATTTGCTGCTGTTATCTTGATTTTGCCGTTGTTAACAATGGCAAGTGGGATCCTACTGTGTTTGTATCTCCAGAGGACTTGGTGGATATGCAAGAAGCTTCTGCATCCTTATCATGAGTAGAGGTAAAGGTGTTGACAATAATACTACATTTTTAAATGTATCACTATGGTATGAAGCATAATTAAGTCACTTATTGCATCAAATCTCAGCCTTTACTTATTATTAATTAATTATAACAACTTATGAGGAAATTAAGATTTAGGCTTGCTTACCCTGAAAGACACACTTTATTCAAAGGCCATCTAATTCACCCTTTCAGAGCCTCACCTTTAGAGATAGTTAGCATAAGAAACAGTCACAAAAGCAGCGATTGGGTTTATAGCGCTGGTAATATTAGCACTGATCCTGAGCAGATGTTCCGATCATGTTTAATTTAACACTTTGTGGATCTGTAATCACTTTTTCTTTCTTTTTAATTTATTTAGCCACCAGATAATGGGCCTCCACCGTTACCAACCTCTTCCCTTCCTGAAGGCTATTATGAAGAGGCAGTGCCACTTAGTCCTGGGAAGGCTCCTGAGTACATCACTTCCAGTGAGTAATATATTTCCAGATCAGTTTCTGAGCAATTGGCAGTTCCAGTGTCCTTCTTTTCTAGTTCTCAACAGCTGCATCTCTATTAGTGCTGTGGTGTCATAAGAGTGGCTTTGACCATTTGGGGATGGTTCTGGTTATTCTCCCTGGCCATGCATTGGTTTGGTTTGCAGAACTGTTTTGATGTGCATAAACCAGGCTCCTTAGAGGAAACTGAACCTGGAGGTCAAGCTAGGTGCACATAAACATGTTTCAGCTGCTTTTGGAGACAGAGTCCAAATCCATAACTTTGAACCATGAATGTGGTGGGAGCATTGGACCAGGAATCCAGAGTTAGGTATCATCCAGAGTAAACCTCTCCAAGCTGGCAGTACTGTAAATGTAGAGGTCCCAGAAATTGGTGCTGATCTGCAGATCTACTGGTATGCTTTTATTGCACTGAATTGCTTGCTAAAGTAGACAAATAAAAACAAAAAAGGAATTATCAAAAAAAATGTCATTTGCAGCATTTCCAATAACAAATTGTGGCAAGGGATAAAACCGGTCATACTGATTCCCACAAACAAAGTTTGATGCACGTGACAGTATTTTTGTGACTACTCGTTTAGTGCAAAAGGCAGAGGACTGCCTCTTAACTGACCACCAAAATGTCGTTCTGCAACACACGCTTTATCTCATGTCCAATACTTAACCAATGAACTGAAGTGGAGCTATGCTGAGAGCACGCTGATGGAACGCTGAAATGACTGCTGTGAGCAATTACACAGGGTCAGTCAACGGGACATTATGTACCAAAACATTGCAAAGATTTTTCTTTTTGCTGTGTTTTTTTCTTGGCTGGGGTAATTTATTATGCATGTATAGATGATTTATCATTAATCATTATTTTCTGTGGCCCAAAGTTTAAAGGCATATCTTCCCCCATTTTATAGCCATTTTTTATTATCTGAACAAGTGAATAAAATATCTCTGTTCTTAAAACATGCATAGGAGTCACCTTAGAAAATTAATTATCCGTTTGTACACTGCACAAACTGAGGTTATCAGGCAGCTCTTAATTTACCTAAGAAATTCAAGGTAAGAGGGAGTTTTATATACTGTATGAAGGAACATTAGCAGAGCAGCAGAATCACTCCTCTCTTCATTTCCTCCCTTGAAATGCTGCAGGGTGGTCCTCCTACACCCTGTAATCCAGCGAACTGCTGATTTGTGTTTTGTCATTAAACAAGAGCTATGCTTGTGCATAAAAATATTAATAGTACAAATATTAATAGCTAAAGGATTGCCTAAGGAGGAAAAAAAAGACAAAATATGAAACTGATTTATTGTACTTAGCCATTCAAATCCATAAAAATATTTAAGATACCAGCCTTGAATTTCATTAATAATTCCATAATTTAAGTGTATATATATACAGACATTAAAAGTTCTGTTAGTGTAGCTTATCACAGCCCACTAGCTGTGATTTTGCTTGGGTTTATTATGTCCTGAACTCCTTACCATCTCTTTCAATTTGTGTTAAAAGTATTCCACTCTTCATCGATAATAAAGTTGCTTTTAAATTCAATATGCCATTAGTGGTATATCCCCAGTCAAGCAAAACTTGAAGATAAGGATGAAAAGGCAATGCCAAAGGAAGCTTGAATAATCAGAAAACACAGATCCAAAAAAAAAAAGGTAGATTAGCAGCATTGGAACATGTTGTATCAGTGCATCTTAAGTCTCTGAGGCTTCAGTAGACTTAATAAAACCACTTTAGTTTGGAGAGAAATTTTTCACTTTTTCTACACATTCTGGTTTGTGTCTCAGAGCCTGAAAGCCTTGTTTTGGATGTGATACAGCAGTTTGGAGAGACAAAGAATAGAAGCGGGATGTGGCGACGGGCAGCATAGTTTCAGCCAGGATGATATGAGTGCTCCAAGGTGGTCATCCTTCCTGGCGTGAGTCACACAGCACAAACCCAAGAACAGAAACATAAGGAGTAGTTAATGGGCAGGATATGGCAACGTTTCCCCAGAGGTACCATTAGACTGTGTGAGGATGGGAGCCTCCGAAGTTCCAGTTGGCTTTCATCCTCCTATAAACAGAGATTTGGATGAACCTGCAACTGCTGTGCCAGCAGAGTCCCTCTGCTGATCATACAACTTACGGCTAATGTGAAATCTGCACTTGGACTGCTTGTGAGCCATACAGGAAGTACCTGTGAGATATTTAACATGCAGAATTTCAATCTCTACTTCAAAGTCTCAATCAGCACGTTCTACAGTTAACTTTTTTAGAAACTGGTAAAACTTGTGGTAAGAACAAAAATAGTAAATGTAATGCTGTGAGGCAAAAGCAATGATTTAACCCAGTAACTTTGCTGAAAAGAATGCAAGATTGTTGTATGATATGAAGAAAACAACTTTCTGATATGTGGCCAAGAGATGACTAAGAATTTTATCCAAGGTGAAACCTTATTTTCTGCAATATGAAAAAGTTAAATCCTGTCATAAAGAGGAAGGAAAAGCAATGTGTAAAACAGATTCAGTTTTTGTATCCTTTTGATTGATGCACTTAAAAATGCAGATGGGGAATATACCTATTTGATAGACCATCTTCTGATAGAAAGGTCTTTGACTCTGTCATGCAGCTGTCCCTTCTTCACAGTGTACTCAGAATGTAGAAAAATGACCTAGGTCCACTCTCTCGAGAAGACTGTATTTGAGGAGTGTCCCTCCTGTACAGTCATGGTTCAAGTCGGTCTGATGAAAATTAACCCTTGGACAGTCTTACTTTGAAAAGGTGTTTTTTGGAGGAAATATCTCATTAGTAATTAAACAGAAAAATGGTGCTAGAATAGTATTTCCATATGTCAATATGTGGCTAGTGACTTCTTATGCTACTTACCTCAAAAAAACAAACAAACCCCCCCACAAAACAAAACAAAAAAAAAAAGAGGGAAATTTCTGAATAATATTATTGCCAAAACTAGAACAGAATCACAAATGAGGTAAAAGAGTACTGCAGAAATGGAGCAAACATCAACATGAACACTGTGACAGTGGCATAGCTGCAACAGTGATCATTGCTGAATTGAAGAAGGAATGAGGAGGTATGGGCCTCTAAGTACTTGAAAAGGGAAAGGCTGGTGTTAAAGATGAAGTTCCCAGAGAGACAGCAACTTCAGGTTATGGCAGCTTGTCCCTTAGCCCATGCCTTTGGGAGAAGGCATTCTTGAGGATGCCGATTTAACACCACATGAGTTATTCTGACTCTGTTTCAAAAGGCTGGCATGCCACTGTGTGTTTGAGACTGGTCAGTGATCTCTCAACCATTTCCTGATGTTTCTGTGTGAAAGTTTGTGGATAGCCACTCCAAAAAGAGATCTGAGGGGGGAGAATGTTTTGGTTTGGTTCTGGTTTTGATGGGGGTTTTTTTAGACTTTTTTCCTGCTTTATGGGGAGGAAGGAGGAAGAGATGGATGAAGCAGCAAGTTCTGCCAGATCTTACACATTCTTTTAAACAACTATACAAAAATAAATACTCTGGAACAAATGTTTCCAAATCTGTCAGTTTAAACATCTACCCTAAATTTTTCCATCTTTCTCTTGACTTTTATAAAGCAAGTGAAAAATTGTAGTGTCTTCGCATGGATAATCATTTACCACTTGCCCATATGGAGCTGCCCCAAACCAAATGCTCAGTAGCAGAATTGACCATTAATTGGCAATTAATTAAAATAAATAATAAGTTAAAAAAAAGTTTCCAGAGCTTCAGATTTTACATTCATTTCACTTTGGAATGAAGAAACATTGTTTTGTACACTTCTGTGGAAACACAAATGAGATCAGACTACCTAGTCTTGATTCAGAGATGTGAGGTCTGACTATGCACGAGGGAGGGAACAGATGTAGAATGAGCTTTCCAGTGATCCACCCTTTTGTCCTCTTCCCAGTTGTCCCAGGTTTCCTTCCTACATCCCACCTGTGTCCTAAATACCTAGCTAAAGTTAATAAGAGATTTTTCTTCCACCCTCTGGCCTCTGGAGAAAAAAAAGACAAAATATGAAACTGATCTATTGTACTTAGCCATCCAAATCCATAAAAATATTTAAGATACCAGCCTTGAATTTCATTAATAATTCCATAATTTAAGTGTATATATATACAGACATTAAAAGTTCTGTTAGTGTAGCTTATCACAGCCCACTAGCTGTGATTTTGCTTGGGTTTATTATGTCCTGAACTCCTTACCATATCTTTTAATTTGTGATAAAGTAAAGATGTATCAAAGTCTACTTGAAATTTTTGGATTAAATTTCAGATGTTAAAAATACTCTAATCAATTCTCCTCCATAGGAGCATATGCCAGTGGATAACAGGCATGCCTTCAGGTGTTAGTATCTGAAGGGCTTTACATATGTGTATATATACGTATATACCCAAATAAACAGATAAGTAAGTATGGATGGAGTAAGAGAGGGTTCTTTGGTAATGGTAATGGTTTTGTAGTTGAGGTTGAGAGGACTGCTAAAGCTGACTGAAAATGAAAAGCCTGAACACAGATTCTTTAATTAAAATGGAATCTTGCCATTCCATCACCAAACTTGGAGCAGGATTAAGCTGTTTAGGCTAAAAATATAACAAAGCGTTTTTTTTACAGAATGTCTTTAGCAGAATCTGTAGTTCAGGGAACAGCACTGTCTATTCAATGTTAATTGTATCAGTGCGGGTACTGTATTGGAAGACTGTGTGAAATGTTATGGTAGGTAGATAGTGCCTCATAATGTATTCTTGTGACCTTTGTCATATTCAGTGTTTGTTTCTTGATATGCTGTACTAATATTGATATTTCTGTGCCTACATTTTGCATTATGCAATAGGGCAAGATGTAGATGTTTCTCTGTAAAAGGATTACAAAAGATGGTATCTGCCAAATAATATTTGAAAGATAATAAAACACTACCTAAAATTCTAGCTGTGTATTCCCAGATATTCTTTCAATTAAAATTCCCAAGGTGTCAATATGGGTCTTCTATAAAGTTTCATAATGGAACTGCACCTCTTACTCAATTAACTTAATGTATTGATACTCCTAAGCACTGAAACAGTTGATTTGTTCATGGCTGACTTTCAAAAGGCTTAACTTAAAATGAAGCCTGTTGAGATTTTGAGTTATTTCAGCACAGTTCATGGCTAAATGTTTTAACTTGACACTTTTACACTTTTCTTAAAGACTATGACTCAGATGCTATGAGCAGCTCTTATGAATCCTATGATGAAGAGGAGGAGGATGGAAAGGGGAAGAAAATGAGACATCAATGGCCTTCTGAGGAAGCCTCTATGGATCTGGTGAAGGATGCCAAAATCTGTGCCTTCCTCCTTAGAAAGAAACGATTTGGGCAATGGACCAAACTACTGTGTGTTATCAAAGAAAACAAACTACTGGTAATTTTTATTTTTATGTAGCTGTATTTTCTTTGTACCTTTTAGATGATGTATTTATTTTTACAGGACTCTGGTTTGGAATATATTCTGCAAAGAGTGGCCAAGTCTACAGTAACCTTACCAAAGAGTTTGGTCGTGATTTACTGAAGAAGCACTGAAATTATAAGTGCATCATTATGCCACTTAGAACTTTGATTTTTAGTGCACTTAAACCCAGGCAGTTCCCTGATATTGGAAAGAAAGTCTGGCCTATTATCTTCTAACACACTTAATTTGGAAAAAAAATGCTGAAACTGAAAATCCAATCTTTCATTCCCTGAGGACAAAAAATCTCATAGGGAGATTTGTGTATGAACTGTTAGATCAGACTGCTGGAGAGAAAAGTCCCTTGTTAGACTGAGAATTCACTTGGCAGCATATGCTGTGGTAATGTATACACTTTAAACTAAACCTTTGCCATCTGTTCTGCAGTAATTACAGATGCAGTATTCACATGATGCACAGCTGCAGTATAGAAAGAAGAGAAACAAGTGAATGTATTTGTTCCTTAAGCAAATCTGTTATGTTTCTTTCTGATTGGAGGCACCAGTAAAAGATTCCATAAGTTAGTAAATTATCTACTCGTAGAAGTCTTTTTATTTTCTGAAAAGAGAGACTAATTGAGGGAAAGATGTAAGTGAACTAATGCTTACAGTAATAAATAAGTTGGGTTCTTAGGCGGTCCCTGCCTTCCTATCTGGTGTTTCCAACAGTTGTAACTAATTATGTAACCAGTAATTACTGCAATCTCCCAAATGTTAAAACGCTGATGATTGATAGAATATTTTCTTTAAAGCCTTGTTTTCTATGCTGATACAAAGTAGCTTAGCTGTGTTCACTTTTCAAGTTCATTTGTGCTTATGGCAGTGTAGGGAGTAACAGGATATGAAACAGAGGTAAGTTTCTGAAAATATAGTTGGAATGAATTTGCTAGTTTTCTGTGGTTAGTCAGGATTTAATTTTTGTATGTGCCTCTATTTAAAAGTCAAAAAGAATGCTGATTCTGATTCCGTTTTTATTATATTGCTATAATGCCATTATACTTAGTTCACATTTTCTCACCATGTATCAAGATCAGCTTTCAGGACCATCTGATAACAGCTTGAAGAAAAGAAAGAAAGAAGAAAAGAAACAGATTTTTCCCTGAAGTCATACAATATTTCTTCTACAATTATATTTGTCGTTCTGTATAGAAATACAGGGGGTTTTCTATGTTTACTTCCTTTAGCCACATGTGTGGTCTGAAAAGGTTTTTTTTCCTTACAGGGATTGTCTTTCAATAATTCAGTAATGGGGATTAAGAAAATAAAAATCACAATAGGAGTCTAACGACCAAGTTACACAAGATTGGTTTATTGTTTGAAGGAGGACTTAGACATTTAACATATGAGATATGCAAGTAAAACAAATACATGTTCTTAGGGATTAGTAATTGCTTGTGTTATAAATGCAACTGTCATCATAACCCCAAAATATTTTAATTAGAATTAGACATCAGAAATAACTTTTAGTAGGGAATCATTTTTCACTTAAAGACCTTTAATATCGAAGTACTTCAGATTTAGTAATGTATAATTATAAATAAAATCTATAAATTAATATAAAAGAAATTATATGCTCTTTATTTCTTCTTAAAGTCACTAATGTTGCATGAAAGCTTGAAAGCTTAATGTATTTTTAATGTTACAAATTTAAAATCTGTGACCAGGCTGGAGAAACTTTGAATTAATGGGCTTTGGAGAGGGAAGGCAGATTATGAGTGATTTGCAGAGGCTGGGTTAGAGTGTCTGTGTTTTCTCAGTCTAAGTTGTAGTGTTTATGACACGCTTTTAACAGCTACTGTCTTCCTGACAGTTGCATCATGATATGAATACTGCTGAAGACCTGCAAAAGTTCATGTGCTTTTCTCTGTTCATATTTATACTTGACTATTCTATGTATACATATACTAATTAGTCGCCTTTGTTAGCAGATACATTCTTTATTATCGGATACCTTTTTAGCCTTCATGCTTATTTGAATGAGTGAAAGCTTGATTTACATAAGTACCTAAAATAAGTTGACATTCATATACACAGTTAAATGTTGTCTATAATCTAGCACTATGACAGCTTTAGGAACCACAGCTGTACTGATGTTTTGGAAGGTGGGAAATAGGGACTGGGTCTATAGGATAAGTGTTGTAACCCTTCATCTTTAGATCACCAGTTCAGATACAGAGCAGGTCATCAGACATCCAACATGAAATGGCATTGGCAGCATTTACTAAGGAGGGAGAAACCCATCGTATAAGTTACATAGTTTTAGCCAGGAGCTTACAAAGTGAACTAACATGGAGATCTGTGCGGTTTTATGCAGTGACTGTTAAACCACTGAAAAAGTGGGACTTTGCCCCCTTTCTACACTGTGACAATTTTTTGGTTTTACTTATCTTAAGAAAAAGAGCAGCTGAGTCAAGCCTGTGCCAGTGTCTTTGGAACTGCAGCTGTAGGCACTAACGCAGTTGACCTAGATAAGTAGGGCTGTTGCTGTAGGGCAGGGTAAACATCTGGGCTTTAAAGTCATTAACTTTATAAGTTTATTCTGCTGCTGTGTGTGAACAGATACCCTAAATCACTCTTTTCCTACCTGATCAAGGTCAAGGTTGAGTCAGAAGGTTAACCTAGAGAAGCTTAATGCTCTCCATATGTTATACCTGTTCTGCAATAAAAGATGTCTATTAATGTTAGTCTGGAAGTAATTTTGCTTTACAGAGGGGATGAGAAGGAGAAATGCAAAGTTGGCATTGGCTGAACTCTGTGGTATGTGGGTAAAGGTACTCTGTGGTAAAGGGGTGCATGAAAAATATTAAAAAATAACATTTCTATATAATAAAATCTTTTCCCTGAGGTTCAGAAAGGTGATATCTAACTTTCAAACTTTCCTTACCATTTTTTAGTGTTACAAAAGTTCCAAGGACCAGCAACCCCAGATGGAGCTTCTCCTGAATGACTGCAGTATCACATACATTCCCAAAGACAGCAAAAAGAAGAAGCATGAGCTGAAAATATCACACCAAGGAGCAGATGCCCTGGTTCTGGCAGTGCAGAGCAAAGAGCAGGCAGAACAGTGGCTAAAGGTAAGTTCGGGATTTCTGACCAGGAGCTTTTCCACCCACAAAGTGCTTCCACTGTCTGTTCAATTGCTGTTAAAAACTGAGATAAGACAACTTCCAGGCAAATCCAGACCATTTAAATCCCATGTAATTTGGGACTGCAGGTTCAGGCCTCAAAGCAACTCCTTCGGCAGCCAGTAGCTCAGGATTACACAGATTCTGCTGGTGTGTATGGTTTTCACTACTAATTGCACAATAATCTGGAACTGAGAGGAGAGGTGGGAAATTCCCTTCCGTCTTATTGAGCTGAAGATTGAAATTCCCTAAGGCAGAGGTGACTGGCACCCAGGTTGCTTTCTGAAGTAGTGTATTGCACAGCTGTCATAATGTACCCTGCAAAAACTGGGATAATAACATCACAGTCACCTTTCTCAAAAGCAGGATCTCTGAGGAGATACCTGTTTGAATTCCACTGGATGGAGAAAAGTCCTTCAACTTCCTGAAGTCACCTCAAGTTTGCTAATCCTGGTTCAGTAGCTTGTCATCTGTTATGGTTTGTTCTGGGAATGCAGACTTCTGAGAAATGGGATTTTGTCATCTTCTACTCCTTTCTGTTCACTGTCTGCAAATGTGGAAAATCCCAACACAAGGGCTGCAGTTTTAGATCCTAACCAGAATACTAGTATTTATGTTGGACTTTGCCAGTTTGAAATGTGGAGGTCAGTGAAGTAGTGTGGGAAACCATCACTGCAGTTTCAGTAGCTTGTTTTAAAACCTTGAAATCCAGCCTTTTAAAAGCATGTAAAAGTCTGAATGCATAAAACTCATCAGGCATTCTGCATGCTGTGCTCTGATCTAACCTTATATGGTACTTATTTTTCTAAGAATAAATTGTATTTTTCCAAATACAATTGAATTAAAGACGTAGGAATTTCCTGATGGCAAGTAGTTTTTCTGCAGAAGAGGGAGACATAAAATGGCACTTAAGAGTTATGAGGTCTGCTGTGGGCTAATTTGCTAAATGGAAAATTAATCTGTAATTTCCTATTTATTTTGCAATACTGAATATACTTTTTAGGGGTTTGCAGTTTGTGTGTGTGTTTGGTTTTGACTGCAAATTTATCTTAGAAAATGCACTCTCTATTGTCTTTTCTAATAGAAACTAACTGCAGCCGTGTATTGGTGAGGCTTCTTCCAACATCAGTATCTTTTTTCATGTTTTAAAATCCAGCACAATCCAAGTGTCCCACTAACTCACCTAGAGTTTCAAAAACACTGATTGGAATGAAAAGAGTCATAAGTCATATTCTTTTCCAAGGGAATTCCGCTGTCATTAGATCATAGTAACTGCATCATAATTTCCCGTGTTGTTCTAAACTTGGGTTTAATAATGCTGAATTCATTGGCATTTATCAGACTTTCTTTCATAAAAATGGTTGTCTTCCTTTTTAATTGTACATAAAGCATTCCCGGACAGTATGTTATCTGCAAAGCATTTGGAGACAGTCTGACAGCACTTTATTTAGCTCCATGCTGCAAAGCTCTCTGTTAATAAAAACTTCCAAATACATGGCAGTGCTACTGTACGCTCACTTCCAAGCCCTTAGCACTGCTACAGCACGCTGTTCTGTGCAGTACAACTTGCCTATCCAACAATGGCTCCAATGTTTTCAAGAAGTACAGCTTTCTGCAGAAAAAAAGCTTTGAGCTTTGTATTTTAAAATTTTAAAAATGAAGAAAATTTAAAGGGTGTTTTATTATTATTGTGAAAATAGCTGTTTTTTGCTCATTTGAGCCTTACGTAAAATGGGCTTCTGAAAATCGTGTGGCTTTGTGTAGGAAGTTCCTATAATACTGAGAAAGAAATCACTGCTTTGTCCTGGGAGAAGTATTTCCCTACCTATCACTCAAGAGGACCCCAGCATTCTGTCACCTACATGTCATTTCCACAGTTAATAGAAGGGGCAGAGTCAGAGATGGACGAGAAAGGTTTCTGCAACCACATTTTTAAATACTAAGCTGTGTCTTCTGTTGAAGGTACTGTACCAGTACGTGCCACTGGCGTCAGGTTATCGCTTAGGAGCAATGGGTTCTCATAAATTCACATGTAAGTGTCAAATGAAAGCTTTATTTTTGAGCCTGAAAAGCTCAGAATGGCTTTGGAGGCCAGATTTTCCCATGAAAGCTAAACCAGATCTTTTTTATTTTTTTGAGTCAGATGTAATCAGTATAAAATACATTTACATAAGCAAGGAATTTTAAAATATCAGTTGGAACACACGGGTGAAATAAAAGCAGAATATTTTAGACCTTTTTTGTAAAGATGACACCAAAAAACCCCAGCTGATAAACCTAGTGTAAATTGAAGTCTAGACTGGAAACCACAAAGGGAGTTTCAGTTTTACCAGCTAACAAATGCTTGTTGAAAAGAAAGATAGCTGATGTCACCAAAGAGCCTGTCAAGATTTCAGAGCAAGGAGAATAAGTAGTATAAATTCAGGCTAGAGCTGAGATCATACGTTAGAGCTGTAATATGGTGGGCAACATGAAGTGGTGGAATTTTCCAGACTTGAGTCCTAAATTGTTCCCGCAAAAATGTACACAAAAAAATGTGTGCAGTTACACACCCTGACCCAAAAATGATCTTTTTCCATGCGCACTTGAGTATATGTGCATCTGTGTGTGCTTTTGTGCATTTGTGGTCAAGTAAGGTCTTAAATCTGCCTGTTTGTCTCAGCACAGCCAACAGACTGGTGAAACTACACCTACTTGTCAGCATCCCTGGGAAACGCTACATTAAAAATAAAGGACTATTAAGAACATGACATTACAAGAAGATGCTTGTTTAATGGCTTCATTCATACAGATGAATGTCTTCTGTGTGCAGGGCCTTCAGACTAGGCCACATAAATCTGCTCTTAAGAATACTTGGATGCCAAAGAAATTAAGTTCTGAAGTAGCTTCTTGTAGAAAACCAGTAGAAGGACATGGTCATGGTGTCCTGGTCCCAAGTCCTGCTCTTCCTCTTAGCATTGCCTCCAGCAAAAACGTATTTCTGATTTATCACGCATGAGAGGTAATGACTCATTTTGTTGTACTGGCCTTGACTTCCATATTTCCCTAACATTAGGCACTAACTTTTCTTCATTTTGTGGCGTGCAGCCATTTTGCAGCAATCTCTTCAGTGGAAGGTCTGTAACTGAGCAGTGACTCAGGCATACATTTCTTCATCTATCATTTTGACAGTGTTCAGTTCTGAACTTGTAATAAGAGGGATTTTATGCCCTGAAGAGAGAAGAAAATCAAGGTTGTTACCATATCTTAAGTGTGCAAAGACCCTGCAACACTCCTTATAGAGCTGTTAATCCTGTTGTCCCACCCAGTTTCCATCTCTAATAACTGCATGCTGTCTCTCGTAAAAGTCTTTTGAAAACCACTTTTTGTTTTCACTGCCCTGAGCTTAGTGAGGGGAGTCAAGTAACTTCTGGGCTCCAGTCTTGATGTGGACTGAGTTTTTCTGAAGTATAAACTACTGACAGAGCTCTTCTTTTACCAGTTTAAATCGGCGCAAAACTGAGCTTGTAACTGTAAACATTGTGTGGCTGCTTTTACTTTCTATGGGAATTTCCAGCTAGAGATCTCAAAACACTTCAAACGTTACTTTCTTGGCTTAAGTAATGTTCCCCAAAGAGGTTATTATCTCTATTTTATAGCTGAGTAGAGTCAAGTGCTGAATGATTATGCCTTAAAAACTGACTGGAAAAACTGTGCTTGGGGATGCATACTTGGTACAAGTGATTTCCATTTAACGTTTGTTGGTTTGTAAGTATATATACAGTGTCCCAAGACAGTCGGGCTGGGTTCTGGGTTCTTTCTCTCACATCAGCAGCAGTGAAGGCTTTGCAACTAAATTAAACCTCCCAGAACTTACACCCCTGTTGTCTCAAAGAGATGGTTTTAGGTAACTGGATTCAAGTCATGGCAAGGTCATTCTGTTTGCATTGGTCCTATTCAGGGCCAAACCTGGAGATGTGATAGACTAAGCTGTGAGTGAGAGCTTTGACCAGCCTGCAGGACTGCTTCCAGTGTACTTTGACAAAACCAGAGGACCCCAACTTGGCTGCAAATCAGCATGTGTGTGTGTGTGTGTGACCAGCAGATGCATACGTAAATTAAAATAAACAAATAAATAAATGAGCAACAAAGAAAACCAATTAATACAGAACCAGAAACATCCCATTTGCTTGTTTTCTCAGTGATAAGTTTTCTTTAGGTTCCTGGCTAAAACCACGAATATAAGCTATAGCAGATCTCAGAGCAGAAACCAGGAGTGCTGAGACTTGGTTCCCTACTTTCTCTACTAGATAGTGTTCCTCCTCTCTCATACTTGCAGTTTTGGATGGAAAATTACTTAAATCATAGTTAGCTCAGATTTATAGCCTAAAGTGTGGTCTTGCATCTCCACACTGGGCTGGGGATGCAGCTCCCTTTGCACAGTGCACCTCTGGCCTAGCAGCCACCCAGCACCTCCTTCCCTGGGCTCTGTCTGGTCCATCAGCCATACATGCCAATGTTCATGTTAATAATACTGGAGGGCTAATACAGGGGTTGTCTTGGTTGAATATGTCCAAAAAATATTTTTAAGTTGTTATAAAGACACTAAATATATGCTTGCTGTCCTCTAGTCTGCTAGAATCTCATCCCCACTTTACTCAAACGGCAGTAAGACTGAAAGATGAATCATTTCAGGCTAGGGGGTGGTTGAGAATGATGTTTCCCGGTACGGAAGGTAAGGGGGATTTCTTTTTGAGACTTAAAGCACAGGCTACGATGTGGATAATTTCTGCTTTCCCTCTAATTTATCTAGGTAAAATCACTGGAGCATTTCTTCTGTACAAAATCCTAAGAGAGTTTTGGTGCTCTTTTAAGGAGGAGGAGATTGGCACTAACATATGTAATCTGTAAGGGTCCAAAAGAGAGAAAATGAGAATTTAGTCATGTCAAAATGACAGAGTCCCAGAAAGTTAGTATTCCTCCAGCACTGAAAAAGGAGTGTTTCAGGAATGAGAAATAAAGGGTTACACCTGGAGCCAAACCTTTTTCCCTGTGCTGTGTTATGCATAAGATTTCAGCTTTACCATATTAACCTGTAGAGACAGGGGATACAGCCTGTGCCATTTCTAGCAGTTCCTGTATTTCCAAAACACATGAGTAGAGGAGGACAAGCTGGGTGGTTGGCTGTATGGATTTCTAGCCTGGTTACATACAGAAGTGAATCAAATGTGCAGTCAGGCCCTCAGCTTTCTCCCTAATCACCTTTGAACTTAATTTTATTAAAAGGGTGAGCTTCTCCTGTGAGTTTCAAGAAAACACGAGATGATATACTGTAATCACATCGGCCTGAACTCATCCCATGGTATCCATCAGGAGAGAGGTCTGCAAGCTCCTCAAATGCAGGATGACTTTCAGTCTTATTCCTTATCAGGTCCAAAAGAGATCAACCATAAGGACCCATCTACAAATTCAGTACTTTTACTCAGAATTTGCTGGGTTTCTGTGTGACAGGATCTGGCTGGCAAGCAGCAGGCCTTCTGGTATTACTGTCTAGCCTTGTGCTTTTCATCTAAATCCTGGATCTTTGAAGGTAGCTGAAAAACCTAATTTCATTCTTCTGACTTTGCATGTAGAAAGAATAAGTGGAGGGCAAGTATTTTACCTCCTGTCCTGGTGTAGTGTTTAAAATCAGACACAAGAATGATAGAAATTTGTAGGTGAGTGCAGGTCTGAAGGTTTTACTTTAAATGTTAGTGCTTGTGTAGAAAGATAGCTTTTAAAGAGAGAAATATTCCAGACCACACCACGTGGCAGAAATTCCACTGACTTCACCCGTCACTGTCAATGGCTCAGAGCAGGGAATCTTTCCAGCTTTCTACCTGCAAATATTTTCCCTCTATTTCTCATGTCACTGCACTCAGTGTGATACACTGGTGTATACCTGATCCAGCTGGTGATTCAAGATGTTTCTATAAAGGTCTAGAGCACATGTCTTATGAGGAGCAGGTGAGAGAATTGGGGTTGTTCTGCCTGGAGAAAAGGAGGTTTAGGGGGGGACCTTACTGCTGACTACATCTATCTGAGAGGAGGTTGTAGTGAGGTGGGGATTGGTCAAGTGACAAGTGATAGGACAAATGGAAATGGCCTCAGGTTGCACCAGGGGACGTTTAGATTGGATACTAGGAAAAAGTTCTTCACTGGAAGGCATGTCAAGCATTGGAACAGGCTGCCCAGGGAATTGTCACCAATGGAGTCACCATTCCTGGAGGTATTTACAAGATGTGTAGATGTGGCACTTAGGGGCACAGTTTAGTGGTGGACTTGGCAGCACTAGGTTAATGGTTGGACTCAATGATATTAAAGGTCTTTTCCAAACTAAATGATTCTAAGATTCTATAAATAAAAAATAATAATATAGTTCAGGCTGCACGAGTTTTTTCCAGGTCTGCATTTGAAAGTGGCAGTTCTGAAATCTGCTAATTGTAACACTGTAATGGTAATTGTGGTATTTAAAATTCTTGCAATGGAATAACAGAAGATTATTTTAAATGTATTTAATTTTGAGGCTATCCAAAGAAATGACAGGTCTTCAGTTTTCTGATTACATTTGCTCATGTATTTTAAATATTTGAGTACATAGTCTGTTTATGATCTCAGTTTGATTTTCCTGGCAGATCACTTTCCATGTGTGTATATGTAATGTACAAAGGTATTTGTGGTGAAAAAAAAGGGAATGATTTCCCTTTTCTAAAGTGTGAGAAAACTTAAAACTATTAATGGACTATGCACCATTACAAAGTATTCTCAGTACAGCCTTCCAGATTATGCCATTTTATTAAAAATAACACATTTGGGTATTCCTTTAGTTTGGTTTCTAGTTTTGGAACCATTGAGACACACTTACTCATATTTTCACACATTTCATTGCAATGTATAAAAGTTTGCTGACCTCCTTTCCCCATTCTCACAACTATTTTTTAATGAAAATAGTGATCTTTTGTTTTTCTATGAGTCCAGGAGATGGAACGTAGAAAAAACTGACAAGAACTCTGAGTCTTGTGATTGAAATTATGCAGGCTGGCAACACTGGTGGAATGTTTTATCCTTAAAATTTTGAGTTAAAGCTATAAGCATGTGAAAACCAGATTTATAATGGCAGCTGTCTGCAAACGTAATTATAGAGAGTGCATCCAGGCAACCATTATATAGTAAAGGCATTTCATCCTGGTGAGCTGTAGAACTATGAGTTTTATGCTGTGTGTTGAACATAATTATATTGCGCATAGAAGGTGATGAGCAAGTCTCTGCCAGTGAACCCCTTGAACCCAAATAAAGTGTTGGATCCTTGAATATGCATTTACTGCATATTCAGTAATATTCATATTCAGATCCTGCCCCAAACTTTCATTTAATAGTGTGTCATTTTTTTAATCAAAATTTAATTACAACCCAATTAAACACTTTAACTTCTCTTTAAATATGTGAGGTATGATAAGAACCGGATTTACTTGAGTGCATGACTTTGCACATACTATTCAGTTAGTGCTGCCAAATCATTTCCCTCTGTTCTGTCTGTAACTCCCATTACTATCTGCCTTTGCCAAAATTAACTAACTGTGTGGTGTGAGCAGATGCTGAAAACATGAGCCGTTGAATCAGGGTCATGCAGGAGACAGAAATAAATGTTCCCAGAAACTGTACAGTCACTTTTCTCTAGGAAGAAAACAGCAATGTATTTACACCATACTGAGGACCAGCAATTGAAAATAAAACAGCACACATGCAAATAATTCTTATGATTTTAGTGAAATTAGGGCTAGATTTAACTGAGGTACAAATGCTCTGCAACAGATATATCTAAATTTTCTGTTACAAATGATGACAAGTGCCATGAAATACTATGCTTTTGTTTCTGGGACAAGATATAGGGAAGTTCAGACAGTCAAGAAAGGAGGTGGAAGTGTTTTAAGATACTAGTTCAGGAATAAATACGTAAGCTCATCTCCCTGCTCTGCTCAGATTTTTTTATGTGACATTGAGTGAGTGATTTAATCTCTGTTTTGTTCCTGAGTTCTCTATCTGTAAAATGGGGTTGCTGATCTTTCTTTATGACAAATAATGCCTTTAATTTATGATGTGCTCATGATTGTAGCAATAGAGTCTTTGTAAGCCCATAAGCATTTGATTTGTTTAGCGTCACCCTTAAAGGGAACTTCTATACTGTGTAAAGACTGTTTGGTGCCGTCTTTAGCTCTTTACTAGTTTCTGCATCAAGATAGTTCAGTTAGAAACTAAAAAGAGATTGTTTGCTGTGCTTTTCCTCTCCTTGAAAGAGGTCTGGATTTTGACAATTAACTTGACTGCTGTTTTCCCTGGAACTAAGAGTTCTCAGGCCAGATCCTCCTTTCTGGCAGCTGGGCTTGTTGTAAACAGTGTAATGGAAGGAGCTGGATATGTAAACATGTACATGTAAAGGGGAGAGTTTGCATGTCTACAGTAATGCTTCCAGCAGAGTAGGATGCTTTTCCTTCTTAGCTTGCTTGGTTCTGCTGTCCTTGCATGGCTGCGTGGCTGCATGGCTATAATCAGCTCAGCAACCCCTTGAGGTGAGTCTGGATGGAGAATCAGGACCTGCTCTCATCAGCACAGGGAATTTCAGACTGATAATGGGCTGGTGGTAACCTCATGAGAGGTAAAAAACTCGATTATGTCCATGGGGAGTCATCAAATGTCTTTACTCACCATGTGTTTTTTTTTACATTCAGACAGCTTTGGATTTTTAAATTCTTCAAATTCTATCAAAATTTCAGTGAATTCCAGGTTATGGATTTTTCTTTAATTTTTAAGAAGCAGACAATGCCATTCTCATTTCCTACAAACATCTTTACAATTTGACCTATACCTTTATGTCAGTGTGCAAGTATAATACAAAATTGCCACGAAATACCACTGCACAGTATTAACCATAAATTGATCAGCACTTTGTTAGTTCTCCAATAGCAAAGAAAGAGCAGCTGGGTAGTGTAGCAAAATTCTTGTTCTTTGACTTAAGCAACCTTGGATTTAATACCACTTTTTCATCATTGCAATGAAATTAGTTTGGTGGTGTCAGCTGAGTTCATATTGCAAACTAGCACATGAAATCAGCAGCACTGTTAGTTTCTTTACCCAGGAGAGCCTTGGAGCTTAGCTTGTCTAGAAACTGAAACCTTCCACCTCCAGACATTGTGTCTCCTCCAGGTGATATGTGAAATGACTGAGGGAGGCAGCATGGAAAAGTTGGTTTGGTGGCAGCCCACCTGACACCTGCCAGCCTAATAAATGTCTGTGTGATTCTGCTTCCCATCTCTCTTCACATTCATATATAAATTCTCTGATTTGTACCTTATGAATAGTTAACAAGTCTTGCCTTGTCTCCTTAGGTTATAAAAGATGTGTGCAGCAACTGTACGGGAGCTGTAGACTCTGATGGTCCATTGTCTAGTTCTCCAGTACACAAGATGGAGCTGGAGAAGGTAAAGTTATCAAACTTTTTTGAATGCAAAACTCCTTATGATTATTTATTAAAGAGGCACTGCTTCTACACTGAATGTAGATACTGGCTGACTTGTGCTATTGGCTTAGACTGTTTGTCCGGTGTTGTATTTGTTTTGATATGTGCACACATCCTACAGAGTTAAGACTTCTGCTACATGTATTTATTTGGTCAAGAACTAGCAGGCTGGCTCGTATCCATTAGCAGCTTCACTTTAGCCATTTAGAAGGGTGCAGACTAAGCGGGTCTGGTACATGTGCTGTGGTGCAGAGGTGCTCTCCATCAAATGCAAAGAGCAAGCAGGGATGTGGCTGAAGCTGAAGATTATAGAAAAGATTTCAGGGAAAATCTTTTAATTTGGGGAATTGAGTACTTGAAGAGCTCCCCGTGCATGCTGAGGTCATTGTTTTGGCAGACACTTTCAAGCGTTTGTGCCTCAGTACAGAAACTTGGCTATTCATATATGGTTGTTTCTGCTGCCTTGACTCAGCAGGATATGAGAGCAAGAATTAGCAGGGAGAGCAGCTCTGCAGTGAATGATCAGTACATTGCCAGCACCAGTTTAAGCTCCTGCTCTATTAAGACATCCATGTGAGCAGACCCTGTGCTTAAAACTCCCACTGACAAAGGTTTCATCACCAAATTCCCAATGGCGGGTTCTACCCCTATGGTGGGAGGATGCCACTGTCAGTAGCGTTATGTTGCTTTGCACCTGGGAAACTAAGAGCAAAGCATGCTCCATGATAGCTCAGACCTCCTGATTTCACATGCAAAAGCATGCTGGCATACACCTGCACAGTATTAACAAGATACCTGAAAACGTCATAAAAGGGTTGTTTTCTAAAATGCTTACCATAAAAAAGTGTAGCAGAGCTTCTCATTTGTTTATTTTGTGATCATCTGTACATCTTCTTCGTGGCTTCACCACTCATGAGTAATGTGGTTACCAAGACTGTGCTGGCATAAGCTGTATATTGCTTCATCCCATTATCTGATACACAACCATTACAGAATAATCACTGCAAAAATTTTATTTCAAAAGCCTCTTTTTAGCACATATTGAATATTAAAGCACCTTGTAGGAATGCACTATCTTCTGATAAGCTGCAATTGTAAATGTATATATGAAGCTTTATTTAAAGAAATAATTTTAGAATTATTCTTATCTGATCCATGTAATTTTTCATTGCTTAGCAGATTAATAAACAGCAACATTTAGAATCTAGAAATTCATTAAAGACATACAATAAGAGGTATTTAATTATGATTAGTTCACTGTTTTGACTATACTTTTAAATATCAACCTATTTTGTTGTTTATGTGCTTTTCTAAAGCCTCTAAAACTGAATTTTTTTATTACCTCCTATTTGTCTTGCAAGTAGGTGAGAGCTTGATATGTGTTTTATTTCATAGTAAGCATCCTTTTAAGTTGGCTCATGACACTTGATTTGGTGAAGGTGCCAACACTGTATGTCAACTGCTTTCTTTGCTCCTGCAGAAGTTGTCATTTGAGAGGCCAAGCTCGGATGGGGAGGGTGCCGTGGAAAACGGCACCACTACTGTGTGCAATGGGAAAGAACAAGGTATGTCTCGGATCCAGAAATGTTTGATATAAATGATAATGTGTATATAGGGAGTGATACGTAGTGAAATACCTGGCTTTTGTCTTCTAAAAACAGGCAGTAAAGCTTTTGAATATTTTTATTAGGATTTAATTTAACTTGAAAGCTGAATCATGTCAAGAGTGATTCCTTAAAATTTCACATTAACAGAAGGCATTTGATGTTATTGTGAAGTTAAAATCAATACAATTATAAGGGAACAGAAAATAGAAATTTCAGCTTGGCCTTTTGTGTGTTCAAAAGTAGTTTTTCAGAGCTTGGGCGACCACTAGAGGCAACTAGCAGTTGCTTTTGTAATTGTAACTGTATAGTGGCAACATAAATAGTGGGTGTACAGCTTCTAAGCAAAAAAGCTATCAATGAGTACTAGAAGGAAAGAATCATTCATATATGAGTATGTATACACATAGATACACAGTTTATATATGTGTGAATGCACAGATACATGTATAAATATGTAAAACTATTCTACATGATTAGATTAAGATACTGAAATGTATATAATTATCAGTGGATTTGTGAGTATATATGTATAAAATTTTACATATGCTACTTTGGAGCCATGCATGTTTTGTAGTCCTTATAATCTAACAAAGGCAAATCCTAAACCATGGGGAATTTTGTCTGAGTTGTACCTAAAACACTCAACCCCTCTGCTCTATTCCTCATCCCCTTCCCTCCTCCTCAAAGCAGAAGAAAATCTGTGACTTTGTTAACTTACCATATAGCAATGGTATCATTTAGATAAGGCATTCTTCTGCAGCTGTCAAGATGAAGGGTAATGTGAGCTGCAGTGAGCACGATGTCAATACTGGCCTTGGTGCCAGTGCTCTCTCGCCTACTGACTGATTTCCTTTTGTATTCTCCCTGGGTCGTTTTCCAACACTTTCTGACTATACAGATCTCTGACATACCCAATAATATAAAACAATGTCAGGCTCTGTGGTTTCTAGAAGTTGTGGTACATGGTTAGATTCCACCCTGTAAAATCTTCTACTAAGCTTTGAAAAAGCGAGGTACTGTTTTAGTCTCTGAAACCTGCTGAGAAACATCTGTGATCCAAAAGCTGTGTTGTCCAAAAGTGCCTGGTGGCTCAGGTGCCCTGCGGAGGGCATGCTGATGGATCGTGTGCTGCTGGAAAGCCAGCCCAACTTCAATGTCTCAGGGAGAGTAATTAAAAGTATAATTTCCTTTTGAAAATTGTGACCTTTAACATGTTTGAATAAAAATAATAGGCATTAATGACTGCAGGAAGATTAAAATATCCCTGGTATCATTTTAGAGGGATCTGGATGAAGTTATGCTATTTTTTAAACAATAGATAGGAAACACTTAAGGGAGTACGTGGGAAGGGAGACGCTAGAGACGTGTCATCTCCAGCCATCACCCAGTGACCAGCCTCTACTCTGCTCTTAACCAGCTGCTTGTTTTGTAGTGAGGAAGGAAATGAGAAGAAAAAGCTATTGTGAAAAAAATCACTGCTAGTCAGGCAGCTGCCGGTGTATTCTTTAGACTCGAAAAGATTAAGTCATGATGGCCTTATTTCTGTTGCCTCTCACTTCTGCAGGAGAATAAAACAGCAGTGTGAAGGGATGATAGGACAGAAAACAAAAAAAAGCCCACTGAAATGGGCTTATTCCACTGTATGTTCATGCTCATTAGAATCATAGAATCATAGAATAGTTAGGGTTGGAAAGGACCTTAAGATCATCTAGTTCCAACCCCCCTGCCATGAGCAGGGACACCACACACTAAACTATGTCGCCCAAGGCTCTGTCCAGCCTGGCCTTGAACACCTCCAGGGTTGGAGCATTCACAGCTTCCTTGGGCAACCTATTCCAGTGCCTCACCACCCTCACTGTGAAGAACTTCTTCCTTATATCTAACCTAACATACTCATGATTCCTTTGGACTTCTGTGTCAGAGAGATGAGTTTTTCTCAGTCTCTGGCTTTATTCAAAGGTTTTCATCTCCTCCCCACTCAACAGCCACAGTTGATCATCGTCTGCTGCTGGTGGGATGGAAACCTGTCTGCAGGCTGGTGCTACCTTCAGGTTGTCCCTCAGGCAGGGGGTGACATGAGCAGGTGGGATGGCTGGCCTTCCTCCCTTGAACATGGGAGTTTGTTACATGTTTAGAGAGCATAAGATAAGTTGTGAACATCCTTCCCTTAGGAAGTGAGAATTAGACCTTGCACACACATGTTGCTGACTGGAGTTTGCTGGTGAACAGCTATCTGCACCTGAAAAGCCGCCTTTCCCCCTCAGCACTGCATGCAGCAGGTGACAGATGTGTACAGTCTGAGCTACAGACAGCATTTCTAAATCATGTGTCATGATTCCTAATGATTAAACTAAATATGATAAATTATCCCGTTGTGAGTCCCAAACTGCTTCTCTATTTCCCATGCATTCTTCCTAGTTCATCAATTCATACAGTCATTTCTCATACAAACATTGTGTCCTTCCTCAGTTTACACAAGTCCATGAGCACTAAATGTTCTGTGTTGCAATGGGAATTGATATGTCAGGGATAAAGTTACAGCAGCTCAATCAGTAACTATCTTAAATGTATTTTTCATCAAAATCATGTGTCAGGGCAAGTTAATGGATATTTTTGCCACTGTCAGTTAGCAGAGAGACTTCTGTTCTGCTGAGGGAATCCAAATTAGGCTACTAAGTGCAATTTCTGAAGGTCTATGTCATTTGTTCCATTTTGCAAATTTTTTTTTTTTTTTTAAATCCTGTTTATTCCTGGGAAGTTGGGGTTTTCTTTTAAATTTGTTAGGATTTTAGTCAGGTAGATACTTTTAAAAATGATATTCATAGTCCTTACTGCACAGAGCCATAATACTCGTGGTATCATATTGAGTTAATGGAAGCATAGGCTGAATGTTAGCAAAATACCAGAGCTTTTTCTTGAGAAGACCTCATGAGTGCCAACTTCTAAGATTGAATGCTTATACTGATCCAACTAATTTAATTGTTAGTAGTTGATTTGTAAGTCTTATCTTTCTAAAAGCTCCATTGTTATCATTGTGATAAGATACCTTAACCTAATTGTATATTAGGACTATTTTTGCTAGGCAAGCATATTCTGCCTTTATTGTGTACTTAAGCACTGAAGTATTTTGAGGTGGATGTCTAGGAACAATGAAAGATTGGCTGGATTTTTATTCTTGTGTATATGAGCTTAATTTATATGCAGGTACCTCAGTCATACTGATAAATTAGGTGATGACTAGTCTGGAAAGAGACTTACAGCTTGATGAGACTAAATTAAATTGATTTGTGCTTGATTTTTGTTATCCTTCTGAATGCCACAATTTTCATAGCACAGAGGTTATTTGTAGGCATCTGCATTAGAGACGGCATGTAATGTTTATCTCACTGCAGTCTGCAGCTCTTGTACAAATGTTCATCTTGCACAGGATTGTTTGAATGAACTACTATTTTTATGCAGGTTCTCACTATTTGTTGGTTGATTTAAACACACTAAAATACACACTTTTGCTTTCTTAATAGTGAAGAGGAAAAAAAGTTCAAAACCAGAAGCCAAGGGCACTGTGACTAAAGTAACAGGGAAAAAAATAACGAAGATCATTGGTTTAGGAAAGAAAAAGCCTTCAACAGATGAACAGACCTCATCAGCTGAAGAAGATGTTCCAACATGTGGTAACTGATTTTTCTCCTTGAGTCTTAAATGCACATTGTGACTAAAATTTTATAAAATTCTAGCCTAGAAATTCCTATAAGATTGCTTTTACTGCTGTAATTCTTCCCCCAGCATCAGAAGGATGCGCTCATTCTGAGAGAGGAGTAGAATAATCGAGAGCTTATCACCTGAAAAGAGACTCGAAGTACTTGACTTTTAAAATAAAATAGTAGCATGAGCTCAGAAGGAGTATCATTGCTCTTTGCAAAGGTTAGGGGGAAGAGAAATGTGGGCAAAAAGCAGAAAGAAACTAGTTGTTTTCAAACAAATGGATATAAAATGAATATAGGCTGGCCCATAAAATAAATTTAGGCTAGGAATTAGAAGAAAAAGTTCTCGGGAAAGGGTCAAGTCTTTCATGATGGATCATGGTGAGGTTCTGTGGGATAGCAATCAAGACAGCAGCCAACTGGCCTCAGCCAAAGTGATTTGAGTTTGTTTAATTGTGGGTTCCTGAAGTGGTACATGTTGGGCAAAACTTAAATAAGTAACAAATTTCTAATAAGCTATTTTAACTCCTAATGGTGATCACTCTATGACAGCTGTAGTGCTTGGCAGCACCAAGGAAGTATGTAAAAAGTTATGCAGAAACGCTTATGTTTTGTATCTCAGCTGTTAATGTTTGCTCACAATTTAGGACTTTGTGCACTGCACTTAGTTGATGTCCTCACAGCTCTGGTATTTTCAAACAATGCAATGTGTTTACGTTCTCCTGTTTGCCTTTTGGTACTCCAGTATTAGGTAACACTTCCATATGTGAATAAGGTTGAACCCACCGTTGTCTCAGTCCCTTCCAAAAAGAGGCTCCATAGAAATCAAGCTGTGAAGCAGCTGCACCAGGTTCTGAATTTGGAGTTGCTTTTTCCCCTTTAACTGACTAGGAAAACTTTGGGAAACCCAGAAATCTGTGATTCAACAGCAGTTGGCAGAAGTAATGGGCACATGAAGTGTAACAGATGCTTACCCAGTGTGAAAGGAGCAGACCAATGGACCACCAGTGAGAACTTCGTAGATCACAGGTGGCTTTCAAGCCACACTTTGGGAATTATTCACATAAGCAGTCTTTGATTAAATAAGTGTGTGTATATATGTCTATGCATCAGCTAAGTACATATGTGATTTCTCAACCATAAGAACAGCTGGGAAAAGCTGTGTCCAGCCAGATGCATTGTCCGAAGCATCTGGCTTCCATAAAAACTCAGACTTCCGGGCTTTCATACTCCGTTGATTATTCTGTATTATGTGAGACGTTAACCACAGCTGTATAATCTAATTCTTAGTATTTCTATCATTATTTCGGATATGAACATAAATACAGCCATTACTGTTGCCTGTATTTGGCTCTACTCAACACCACTTGCAGATTTTATAGGAAAATATGTAAGTGTCTAGGCTTTGGTCATTGCAGGAAGTTATTGCAGAAAAGTTTCTCACCACCAGAAATTTGGCTCAGTTCAATGCCCTCTGGGAGGCTGTTCCATAGTTGAAGGTTTTTACACTTTAGAAGGCTCTACCTCCCATGAACAAAGGGAAAAGCCCAGTGGGGGATGCAGGGGACACCCAGCTAGGTTGGAAACTAAACCCCATCTGCACTTAGAGTTGTGGCAAAGCTCTTCCTTACAACATTTTGCAAGTAATAGAGGAACCAACAAGGAGAGGTGCCATGCTTGACCTTGTGCTCACCAACAGGGAGAGGCTGGTGGGCAATGTGATGCTCCAAGGCAGCCTTGGCTGTAGCGACCATGAGATGGTGGAGTTTGAGATCCTCAGGACAGTGAGAAGAGCATGCAGCAAGCTCACTGCCCTGGACTTCAAGAGAGCCTCTTCAGGAACTTGCTTACTAAGGTTCCATGGGATAAAGTCCTAGAAGGCAAGGGGGCTCAAGACTGCTGGTTGATATTCAAGGATGACCTGCTTCAAGCTCGGGAGCGTTGCATCCTGACAAGAAGGAAATGCGTCAGGAAGGCCAGGAGACCTCCATGAATGGATAAGGAACTGATGAGAAAACTCAGAAGGAAAAAAGAAGCTTATAGAAGGTGGAAGCAAGGACAGGTGGCCTTGGAAGAATACAAGGAAGCTAGGGATCAGGCAGGAAAGCTAAGGCCCAGATAGAATTGAGTCTGGCCAGAGATGTCAAAGATCACAAAAATGGCTTCTATAGGTATGTTGCAAACAAAAGACAGAATAGGAATAATGTGTGCCCTCTCTGGAAGTAAATGGGAGAACTGGCTTCCCTGGATTTGGAGAAGGCTGAGGTTGCCAATGACTTTTTTGCCTCAGTCTTCACTGTCAAGTCCACTAGTCATGGTATCTAATCTGAGCCTCTACACTGCTCAAGTCTTGGAAGACAAATGCAG